GAAAAGTATTTCCTCCTGGCAATATGTTTATCGAAACAAATTATCTGTCCCCTTCCCATGGTTTTGCTGGAATTTCCACCTTAACAATGTCCATCAGAGAGCTTTTCAATACAAAATCACAGTGGGACAGTAACATAGTAGTTATATTTCAAGTCCTCCACAGGCCTGGGTCTGTGGAATGCACTGGGGATAGAACATAGAACGTAGAACATAGAACAGTACAGCACAGTACAGGCCCTTCGGCCCACGATGTTGTGCCGGACTTTTACCCTAAACCTAAGGTCTATCTAACCTCCACCAGTACCTTATACTATCATCCATATGCATATCTAATAGCCACTTAAATGCCCCTAATGAGGCCGACTCCACTACCCTCTCCAGCAATGCATTCCATGCCCCTACCACTCTCTGAGTAAAGAAACTACCTCTGACGTCTACCCGATATCTACCTCCACTCACTTTAAAACTATGTCCCCTCGTAAAAGCTACCTCCACCCTAGGAAAAAGTCTCTGGCTGTCTACTCTATCTATAGGTCTGATCATTTTGTACACCTCTATCAAGTCACCTCTCATCCTTCGTCGTTCTAAAGAGAAAAGCCCTAGCTCTCTCAACCTTTCCTCGTAAGACTTTCCCTCCATTCCAGGCGACATCCTGGTAAATCTCCTCCGCACCTTTTCTAACGCTTCCACATCTTTCCTGTAATGAGGTGACCAGAACTGGACACAATACTCCAGATGTGGCCGAACCAGGCTTTTGTATAGCTGGAGCATAACTTCACGGCTCTTGAACTCAATCCCTCTCTTATTGAAAGCTAACACACCATACGCCTTCTTAACAACTCTATCCACCTGGTGGCAGCTCTCAGGGAACTGTGAACATGAACCCCAAGATCCCTCTGCTCCTCCACACTGCCAAGAATCTTTCTGTTAACCCTGTATTCTGCTTTCAAGTTTGTCCTTCCAAAATGAATCACCTCACACTTTTCAGGGTTAAACTCCATCTGCCACTTCTCAGCCCAGCTCTGCATTCTATCAACGTCCCTTTGTAACCTAGAACAGCCCTCCGCACTGTCCACAACGTGACCCACCTTCGTATCATCCGCGAACTTGATAATCCACCCTTCCACTCCTTCATCCAAATCATTTACAAAAATCACAAATAGAAGAGGACCCAGAACAGATCCTTGTGGTACACCACTCGTAACTGAGCACCATGTTGAATATTTTCCGTCCACTACCACCCTTTGTCTTCTAAGGCTCAGCCAATTCTGAATCCGATCTGCCACATTACCCCCTATCCCATGCCTCCTTACCTTCTGCATGAGCCTACCATGGGGAACCTTATCAAACGCCTTACTTAAATCCATTATGCCACATCCACTGCTCCACTTTCATCCACGTGTTTGGTCACCTCTTCAAAGAATTCAATAAGGTTTGTGAGGCATGATCTACCCCTCACAAATCCATGCTGACTATCACAAATCAAACTGTGCCTTTGCAAGTGATCATAAATCCTGTCTCTCAGAGGCCTTTCCAATAATTTGCCCACCACTGACGTAAGACTAACTGGCCTGTAATTTCCGGGGTCATCCCTGTTCCCTTTTTTGAACAAGGGAATGACGTTTGCCTCTTTCCAATCTTCCGGCACTATACCCGTGGACAGTGAGGACGAAAAAATCATCGCCAAAGACACTGCAATCTCGTCCCTCGCTTCCCATAGAATCCTTGGATAAATCCCATCAGGCCAGGGGGGACTTATCTATCTTCAACTTCCTCAGAATTCCTAGCACATCTTCTTTACTAACATCAACCTCCTCTAGCCTACCTGCCTGTTTCACAACGTCCTCCTCTACAACTAGGTCCCTCTCAGTTGTGAATACTGAACAAAAGTATTCATTAAGGACCCCTCCTATCTCTGTAGGCTTCGTGCACAAATTCCCTTTACAATCCTTGATTGGCCCTACCCTTTCTCTGGTCATTCTCTCGTTCTGCACATTCGTGTAAAAAGCCTTGGAGTTTTCCTTGATCTTATCCGCCAAGGTTTTCTCATGCCCCCTTATAGCTCTCCTAAGCCCTTTCTTCAGCTCCTTCCTGGCTAACTTGAATCCCTCTAGAGCCTTTTCCGTTCCTCTTTTCCTAAACCTTACATAAGCCTCCTTCTTCCTCTTAACCAGTCGTTCGACCTCTCTTGAGAACCATGGCTCCCTCACTCGACTGCATCTTCTCTGCCTGCTAGGGACAAACATATCGAGCACACGCAGTATGCATTCCTTAAACAATCTCCACATTTCTGTGGTGCTCTTCCCTGAAGCATCTGTTCCCAATTTATGTTACCCAGTTCTTGCCTAACTGAATTGTAATTACCCTTCCCCCAATTGTAAACTTTACCCTGCTGTATGTAGCTATCCTTATCCATGACTATCGTGAAAGAAACAGAGTTATGATCGCTACTGCCAAAATGCTCTCCTACCAACAGGTCTAAAACTTGGCCCGGTTCGTTGCCAAGCACCAAATCCAAAGTGGCCTCACCTCGTGTTGGTCTATCTACATACTGTGTCAGGAATCCTTCCTGAACGCACTGGACAAAATCTGCTCCATCTAAACTATTACAACTAAATTGGTTCCAATCAATATTTGGAAAGTTGAAGTCACCCACGACTACAACCCTGTGTGACTTCTGCACCTTTCCAGTATCTGCCTCCCAATCCGCTCCTCTACTTCTCTGAAACTATTAGGGGGTCTGTAAAAAACCCCCAACAAAGTGACTGCTCCTTTCTTGTTCCTGATCTCAACCCAAACTGACTCTGTAGACATATCATTATCGAACTGCCTTTCAGTAGCTGCTATACTCGCCCTGACTAGCAATGCCACTCCCCCACCTCTTTTTCCACCCTCCCTATTTCTTTTAAAGCATCTAAATCCCGGAACTTCCAACAACCATTCCTGTCCCTGAGTTACCCAAGTTTCTGTAATGGCCACAACATCGTAGTCCAAGTATCGACCCACGCTCTAAGTTCATCCGCTTTATTTCTGATACTTCTAGCATTGAAGTACACACACCTCAAACCATCTCGGTGTCCGCAATTACGCTCCATCGACCGCATTTCTTTATAAACCGCCTCACTCCCTGTTGTGTCTGTTGGAAGGCCGAATACCTCATCCTCTGAATTATAAATCCGGTTCCCCACACCCTGCCAAACTAGTTTAAACCATCCCGTACAGCTCTAACAAATCTTCCCAGGATATTTGTGCCGTTCTGGTTCAGGTGCAACCCGTCTTTACTGTACAGGTCCCACCTTCCCAAAAATGTGCTCCAATTATCCACATAATGGAAGCCCTCCCTCCTACACCAGCCCTGGAGCCACGTGTTTAGCTGCACTCTCTCCCTATTTCTTACCTCGTTGTCACGTGGCACTGGTAGTAATCCAGAGATAACTACCCTGTTTGTCCTGGACTTCAGCTTCCAACCTAACTCCCTGTACTCGTTTTTCACATTCTCAGGCCTTTTTCTACCTATGTCATTGGTACCAATGTGTACCGTGACTGCTGGTTGCTCACCCTCCCCCTTAAGGATCTTGAAGACACGATCCGAAACATCACGGACCCTGGCACCCGAGAGGCAACATACCACCTCAAGCCGCACCTCCATCTCCTACCGACTAACCTCATCCCGCCCCCTTGACCTGTCCGTCCTCCCTGGACTGACCTACCCCCTCCCTAACTCCCCACCTACACTCACCTTTACTGGCCCCATCCCCGCCTCTTTGACCTGTTTGTTTCCTCTCCACCTATCCTCTCCTCTATCCATCTTCTATCCGCCTCCCACTCTCTGTCTATTTATTTCAGAGCCCCCTTCCCTTCCCTCTTTTCTGATGAAGGGTCTAGGCCCAAAACATCAGCCTCTCTGCTCCTATGATGCTGCTTGGCCTGCTGTGTTCATCCAGCCCTGCACCTTGTTGTCTCGGATTCACCAGCATCTGCAGTTCCTACTATCTCTACCATCCTTTGATCTCGTTCGCATCCACAGAACCACCTGTCTGTGCCTCTTACTGTTGAATCCCCCACTACAATTGCTCTCCTATTCTCCCCCCTTCCTTTCTTTGCCACATGGTCAGGCTCAGTGCCAGAGACGAGTTCAATTGGTAGCTGGAGAAATGCAAATTCAATTAATTAATAAATCAGAAATAAAATCCTCGTCTCATTAATAATGAAGTGGAACCATTGAATTCCTTAAATATATATGATAACAGAACCACAACAATCCAGGTGACCCTTACCTGTCCTCTGATCTGACTTAGCCACTTGGTAATATCAAACTGGCACATAAACAAACAACACCTAAACTACAAGGATGGCAATGGCATAAGAAAATGCCTCATCAACACCGTCTGAAGGGCAATTAGGGATGGTCAGCATCTGCCAATCCAGTCACTAATACTGATGTCCAGAAAATGAATACCTTTAAACATCAATCATTGGGGAGTAGAGGTTAAAAAGTGGCCAATTGTACAACATTTTATCCATTTTCAATTAGGTCAGAAAGATATCATTCCGTCCCCAAAGCTTGGCAAAGCTGAAGGATGATCAACCCTCTGTTTGTTACTGCTACAAATATTGATTTATTACCCTGCTTTAAAAGGTCATTTTAATTCAAAAATATAATTAATGCTGAATTGTCCCACATTTGCACACTGTTAAAAAATCTGGTGGGACACCTTTCAAATTCAAACAGCAGAGTTTGAAAATGGGTGAGATGAAACTAAAATTCTGAGTAATGTTTCTTTATCAGGCAATGATGGATTGATTCATGATAAAACATTAGTGTGTAAGGGCGGTCACGTTCAGTGCTACATGTTGATATATTACAGGCAAAAGGGACTCGTGAACTCTGAGTGTAATGCTGAATTTGGTAAATTATTGACAGAACAAGATAGTTGTCATGGCAATTTTTAACTTAAGTCTCCCCCTTCCCCTCTACGTAAACAGGGCAGTATCTAACATCATCATCTGGGGGTGGCTGTCTATAAAAGTCTGTTAAGATTCAGTGACCATTCGCTCTTCACCAAGTGGGCTAGTCACGGATTTCCCTCCACAACTGTGCTTCATTTAAACCCCCCCACCCCAGGAAAAAAAGAACTAGCGGCTGAGATTAACCACTATGTGCTACGGAAAGTGTGCCAAGTGCCTGGGCATCACACTCATTCCTCTGGCTCTTCTTGGTATTATCTTAAACACTCTGCTCTTTTTCCCGAATGGAGAAACGGGATACAATACTCCTGAGAAACTGGCCGGCACCGTGTGGTGTTTCAGTGGGATTCTAGGATCTGGATTACTGGTAACTTATCTTTTTTTTCAGTTCGACCTAGAAGGGGGAGGGAGTTGGGGATTATAGGGGAGTGGGATCGTTTCCTTCTGTAGACCAATTCATTGTTGTTCAAATAAAATTTCCTCTACGATATTTGTTTTAAAGAAAGCTGTTAAAATGAGGCTGCGGTATTCAGAGTGCAAACACTTAACGGCATTCAGCATTCACTTTGTCCTATGATATAGACAGAAAGCTTTCAAAAGACGAAGCTTTGAAATTCTAGGATAAGGTCATCGAAGTCACTTTGCAGTTTTGGAGGAAGTTTTGATCTATATTAGCGCAGAGTTTAACTGAGCTCACCAACAGAGACACTTCATCTCTGGTCTAAAATTCATATTGCAATAAAATCAGAAATTGCTGGAAAAGCTCAGCAGGTCTGGCAATATCTATGGAGAGAAATGAGAGTTAACATTTCGGGTCCAGTGACCTTTCTTCAGAACATTTCCAGTCCAGTTCTAAGGATCATTGGACTGAAATGTGACCTGATTTCTCCCACAGATGCCACCAGACCTGCTGAGCTTTTCCAGCAATTTCTGTTTTTTGTTTCTGATTTCCAGCATCCGCAATTCTTTCGGCTTTTATTCAGATTGCAATGTTAATCTGGTTCTTGCAAGACTTTTCTGATTGCGCCATTTCTGCACATTGATGATCCCCCCTACTGTAATCACATTAGTGAACCATTCCAACATCAATTGACGCTGATCTAACATTTGTCTTTTTAATGAGGACAGATGGTGTTCCCAATCCTCGTCTTCATGGGCATGGAGAATAACGACTGCTGTGGTTGCTGTGGAAACGAGAGCTGCGGGAAACGGTTTGCGGTAAGCAGGATTGAGGCATTCCCCCGGACCTTACTATCCCAGGGCCTTCTGCCCCTCTCCCAGATTCCTCCCAGTGTCTGTGGGTTGAGGTCGGGTGGGAAGAGAAGACAGGCAGTAAAGGGGAACTGGAGGGTGGCAGAATGTGAATTGAACATATTCCCAGCTATTCCAGGCAGATATTGTAATCAGGCTCGGTCTAATATTTGATTTGGTTTATTGCTGTACCTGAAAAGTGAAAAGTTTTGTTTTGCGTGCAGTACAGGCAGATCATAACAAAAAGTACATACAGGTCATAGAGTGCTTAGACAGAGCGAGGTATACAAGGTTACATTGCACAGGAGGTTCACAAAAGCAAGATCAACATGAGGTTTGTAGTTAGAGAGGTCCATTCAGAAGTCTAATAATAGCGGGTAAGAAGCTGTTCTTGAACCTGTTGGTCTGTGTGTTTGAGCTTTTGTATCATCTGCCTGATGGAAGAGGTCGGAAGAGAGTATTAGCAGGATGGGAGGGGTCTTTGATGATGTTGGCTGCCTTTCCACTGCAACGAGAAGTGTAGATGGAGTCTCTGGATGGGAGGTTGGCTTGTGTCATGGGCTGGGCTGAGTTCACAGCTTTCTATAGTTTCTTACAGTCTTGGGTGAAGCAGTTGCCATGATGCATCCAGATGGAATGCTTCCTACGGTGCAGCTGTAAAAGTTGGTGAGGGTCCTTATGGACATGCCAAATTTCCTTAGCCTCCTGGAGAAGAAGAGGCGTTGTTGTGCCTCCTTTCTTTTTCTTTATTCATTCATGGGATGAGGGCATCGCTGGCCATGCAGCATTTACTGCCCATCCCTAATTGCCCAGAGGGCAGATTTGAGTCAACTACATTGCTATGGGTCTGGAGTCACATGTAGGCCAGACCAGGTAAGGATGGCAGTTTCCTTCCCTAAAGGACATTAGTGAACGAGATGGGTTTTCCCAACAATCCAACAATGGATTCACGGTCATCATTAGATTCTTAATTATTTATAAATAAATAATTAATTAATATTTATTGACTTTAAATTCCACCATCTGCCATGGTGGGACTTGAACCCAGGGTCCTGGAGTAACAGTCCAGCAATAATACCACTAAGCCATCACCTCCCCCTTGATTGTTATATCTCGAGTTGACCAGAAGTTCTATCGATATATTCACTTCTTCATACATATTCATCACAGGGGCTTACATTTCAAGAACTATTCAAGTTCCTTGCGCTCATGGTGAGCCGAAATTGAAGTCTCCCAAATTCCATTTATTTACTTCTTCCAATTATTGCCTGATCCTGAATAAAAACGGGAATAGGCTATCCAGTCCCTGCTCCATCATTCAAGTAGGAGATGACTAATCTAGATAGTAACTTCCGGTTTCTACATGCAACTCCCACTAGGCAAAAAAAAATTAGCAATTTGTTTTGAGATTTTCAATTGGCCGAGCCTCAACAGCCATTAGTGGGACAAAGTATCAGATTTTCACACCCCATTGTGTGAAGAGGTGCTTCCTGACATTGTAGAATAGTGAATGAATAGCCTTTATTGTCAGGAGCACTCGAAAGAGTGCAGTGAAAAGTTTGTAACGTTGCCTCTGAGCACCATCTTATGTACAGGGGACCGAGGTACAGATACTCCAAGTGTTGTCACAGAATTGAAAAAAACATTAGCATGGGAATATAGAGTTTAAAGACCAGAATGAGAATAAAATCTGTCGAGAATGTACTTGTTACAGTCCTCATTGTCCTTTTCCAGCACGACACCATGCCCATTGGGCTTCAGAACAAGAGGCCACACTGCCTCCACACGCTGGCCTCGTTCCAGGCTTCCCTCTGCTCCCCGCTCCGGGACTCGGTCAGCTCCCCGCTCCAGGACACGCTCTGCTCCCCGCTCCGGGACTCACCCTGCTCCCCGCTCCGGGACTCGCTCTGCTCCCCGCTCCGGGACTCGCCCTGCTCCCTGCTCCGGGACTTGCTCTGCTCCCTGTTCCAGGACACGGTCTGCTCCCCAGTCCAGGACTCTCTCCACTCCCCGCTCCGGGACACGCTCTGCTCCCCACTCCGGGACTCTCTCCGCTCCGGGACACGCTCTGCTCCCTGCTCCAGGGCTCACTCCGCTCTCCGCTCCGGGACTCGCCCTGCTCCCCGCTCCAGGACTCTCTCCGCTCCTCGCTCCGGGACACGCTCTGCTCCCCGCTCCAGGACACGCTGTGCTCCCCACTCCAGGACTCGCTGTGCTCCCCGCTCCGGGACATGCCCTGTTCCCCGCTCCGGGACACACTCTGCTCTCCACTCAGGGACACGCTGTGCTCTCCGCTCTGGGTCACGCTGTGCTCCCCGCTCCGGGACTCGCCCTGCTCTCTGCTCCGGGACTCACCCTGCTCCCTGCTCCGGGACACGTTGTGCTCCCCGCTCCAGGACACGCTGTGCTCCCTGCTCCGGGACTCGGCCTGCTCCCCGCTCTGGGACATGCTCTGCTCTCCGCTCCGGGACACGCTGTACTCCCCACTCCGGGACACGTTGTGCTCCCCGCTCCAGGACACGCTGTGCTCCCCGCTCTGGGACTCGCCCTGCTCCCCACTCCGGGACTGTCCCTGCTCCCCGCTCCAGGACTCGCTCTGCTCCGTACTCCAGGACTCTCCCTGCTCCCCTCTCCGGGACTCTCCCTGCTCCCCTCTCTGGGACTCGCCCTGCTCCTTGCTCCAGGACTCTCCCTGCTCCCTGCTTCGGGACTCGGCCCGTGTGCTCTGCTCCCGCTCGTGTCCAGCTGTGATTTGTCTCCCTTCATCTCACCTCCATTCTCCATGTAGGTTGGGTATTTTAAGAGCTTGGGGGTTGTGGGGAAGAAAAACTGTACAGAGGAGAAAAATAAAGAGAAAGGAAAAGGAACTGGTGAGCAGTGGAGCTATGACTGGAGTGTCATAGTCTGCCACCATCTTAGAAACATATCGAACTGGAGAGGCCGTTCAGCCCATTGTGTCTGTATCACCAGACACAATGGGCCTAGTTTTGGTCTTAGGTCCTCTTGTATTCTTTGGTTCCTCTACCAAATGGATTAGCAGTTTTTCACTATTGACTTTATCAAATCCTTTAATCATCACCTTTTAGATCACTCATTAATTTTCTCTGTTCTTGTTTGCAAAGGGAACAGTTCAATTTTCTTGTGTTTAAACCCATTGATATTTTCACTACAGGAGGAAGACTTTTGGCTGTTTGCATATGCACTCACTCTGTTGTAGAGATCTGAAATTAACTACTGCCTTTCTCCTCTCTCTCTCTCCCCCGCTCTCTTTCTTTACTCATGGGCCTGTATCTTCCCCTGCTTCAACTACCAGCCTCTATTTTGCCGTAAATAATTCAAAGATCTCTGCCTCAACCATTTCCTGCAGCAAAATATTTGAGCAAAACTAACAGGTTTCTTTACAGGCTAAACTGTAATTCTATTTTACTGCTTTAAGTTCCAATCCTTCTAACTAGAATGACCCACTTTTAGATTTTACTTTAGCTCCAGGAGCGCATCTCAAACGTAGGATCATCCTATTAAGTTTCCATCCATTTGGCTAAAATAGCAGAAAATTGCAGTGGTGAGATTTAAATGGGGACAACGAGAGAGGGTACACAAAAGCCTGGTAAAGCATGAGTCCTGGAAGCCTCGCCAAGTCAAGCAGAGTCTTATTCAAATACCTTTGTGTTGGAATGTACCTGATTGAATGCTTGGTCAGCAAGAGGCAACACTGTGAACTTGCAAGAGCCCACAGCTGGACGTTCTTGGCAACAGGCGGGGGCTGCAAGATTTTGGGCTGGGGTTGTGGAGTGGCTCAGTGAGTGGAGTTCTTACCGAGAATGGCGTTAGGTGAAGACTTACTTGTGACATTCGAAAGAGCGGACACCCGCTCCTCCTGTTCCAGTAGCAGTGCTAAAAGGAGGTGATCTGACCGGAGGCAGGAAAAACATATTTGACCTCATCCTTACTAATCTGCCAGCTGCAGTTGCATCAGTCCATGACAGTATCGGTAAGAGTGACCATCGCACAGTCCTTGTGGAGACAAAGTCCCGCCTTCACATTGAGAACAACCTCCATCATGTTGTGTGGCGCTATCACCGTGCGAAATGGGACAGACTTTGCACAGATCTAGCAACTCAAGACTGGGCATCCATGAGGCGCTGTGGGCCATCAACAGCAGCAGAACTGTACTCCAGCACAATCTGTAACCTCATGGCCCGGCATATCCCCCACTCAACCATTACCGTCAAGCCAGGGGATCAACCCTGGTTCAATGGAGAGTGCAGGAGGGCATACCAGGAGCAGCACCAGGCATACCTGAAGAGGAGGTATCAACCTGGTGACGACACCAAACAGGACTAGTTGCATACCAAACAGCGAAAGCAGCAAGTGATAGTCAGAGATTCATGATCCTACAACCAACGGATCAGATCTAAGCTCTGCAGTCCTGCCACATCCAGTCATGAATGGTGCTGGACAATTAAACAACTCACTGGAGGAGAAGCCTCCACAAATATCCCCATCCTCAATGATGGAAGAGCCCAGCACATCAGTGCAAAAGATAAGGCTGAAGCATTCGCCATAATCTTCAGCCAGAAGTGCCAAGTGGATGATCCATCTCAGCCTCCTCCAGTGGTCCCCAGCATTACTGATACCAGTCTTCAGCCAATTCGATTTACTCCACATGATATCAAGAAATAGTTGGAGACACTGCAAGGCTACGGGCCCTGACAACATTCTGGCAATATTACTGAAGGCTTATGCTCCAGAACTTGCTGCTCCCCTAGCCAAGCTGTTCCAATACAGTTACAACACTGGTGTCTACCCGACAATGTAAAAAATTGCCCAAGTATGTCCCATACACAAAAAGCAGGACAAACCCAACCCGGCCAATTACCGTCCCATCAGTCTCCTCTCGATCATCAGTAAAGTGATGGAAGGTGTCAGTAACAGTGCTATCAAACAGCACCTGCTCAGAAATAACCTGCTCAGTGACGCCCAGTTTGGGTTCCACCAGGGCCACTCAGCTCCTGACCTCATTACAGCCTTGGTTCAAACATGGACAGAAGAGCTGAATTCCAGAGGTGAGGTGACAGTAACAGCCCTTGATATCTAGGCTGCATTCAACCGAGTGTGGCATCAAGGAGCCCTAGCAAAACTGGAATCAATGGGTATCGGGGGCAAACTGTCCAGTGGTTGGAGTCATACCTGACACGTAGGAGGATGGTCGTGGTTGTTGGAGGTCAGTCATCTCAGCTCCAGGACATCTCTGCAGGAGTTCCTGAGGGCAGTGTCCTAGGCCCAACCATCTTCAACTGCTTCATCAATGACCTTCCCTCCATCATAAGGTCAGAAGCGGGGTTGGTCACCAATGATTGCACAATTTTCAGCACCATTCATGACTCCTCAGATACTGAAGCAGTCCATGTGCACATGCAACAAGATCTGCACAATATCCAGGCTTGGGCTGACAAGTGGCAAGTGACATTTGCGCCACACAAATGCCAGGCTATGACCATCACCAATAAGAGATAATCTAACCACTGTCCCTTGACATTCAATGGTGTTACCATCACTGAATCCCCCACTATCAACATCCTGGGGGGTTACCATTGACCAGAAACTCAATTGGACTCACCACATAAGCAAAGTGTCTACAAGAGTAGGCCAGAAACTGGGAATACTGCAGCAAGTACCTCACCTCCTGACTTCTCAAAGCCCGTCCACCATCTACAAGGCACATGTCAGGAGTGTGATGGAATACTCCCCACTTGCCTGGATGAGTGCAGCCCCAACAACATTCAAGAAGCTTGACACCATCCAGGACAAAACAGCCCGCTTGATTGGCACCACATCCACAAACATCCACTCCCTCCACCACCGATGCTCAGTAGCAGCAGTGTGTACTAGCTACAAGATGCACTGCAGAAATTCACCAAAGATCCTTAGACAGCACCTTCGAAACCCATGACCACTTCCATCTAGAAGGATAAGGGCATCAGACATTTGGGAACACCACCACCTCCAAGTTCCCCTCCAAGCCACTCACCATCCTGATTTGGAGGGGAACTTGGAGGTGGTGGTGTTCACCGTTCCTTCCCTGTCGCTGGGTCAAAATCCTGGAATTTCCTCCTTAATAGCACTGTGGGTCAACCCACAGCAGGTGGACTGCAACAGTTCAAAAAGGCAGCTCACCCCCTCCTTCTCAAGGGCAACTTGGGATGGGCAAGAAATGCTGGCCAGCCAGTGACGCCCACATCCCACAAATGAATAGAAAAGAAAAGGCGCTCAGCGCTTCCTATCTCAGATCCACTGCCAGGTAACCATCGCCCAAGATCCCTCCTGACAAACCTTTACATTGAACTCATGGAGCAAAATGTTTCTCGTATCTGGACTGCTTTGGGATTGGGGTTTTCTCTACCTTGCCCCCTCCACCTGCCAGATCCTGTCTTGGTCGTTAAGTGGCAACTAAAATCAAGGCCTAAGAATCTGATACATATAGCTGGTGGACAGAGAAACTGAGCCATGTGTGAAAATAGCAATTTTGGTTTCATGACATTGACAAACAGGGTAATATTTCCCAGAGCTAATGTAGAGGGAAAGGTGATGACCTTGAGGTGTTATCACTGAACTGTCAATGCAGAGACCTGAGTTCAAATCCCACTATGGCAGATGGTGGAACTTGAATTAAATAAAAATTTGGAATTAAGAGTCTAATGATGACCATGAATCCATGGCCAATTGTCAGGAAAAACCCATCTCGTTGATCGATGTCCTTTAGGTAGGGAAACTACAATCCTTACCTGGTCTGGCTTACATACAAATCCAGACCCACAGCAATGTGGTTGATTTTTGTCAATTAGGGATGGGCAATAAAAGCTGGCATGGCCAGTGATGCCCTCATCCTACGAATGAATTTTAATAAAGAGCAACTGCAAAGCAAGTCTATGACTGTCAACAGCAACACAGTGTCCCAAATAAGTCCTTAAGTTAGTGCCAACATTTGTGCTATATTCTCTTGTTTCGAAATGTGTAAAATGAATAGTCAGCCTCATTTCAAAGATACTTCAAGGAATTAAATAGTTTGGCCTTTAATGAAGGAGAGGTGATTTTATAGTCATAATGTCACTGGGCTAGCAATCCAGAACCTCCAGGCCAAGGTTCAGAGTTCAAACATCGGCATGACAAATGGTGAAATGTGAATTCATTTAAAAATGGGCCAGAATAAAGAACTGTCCAAATGGCTACCACATAGCCATTGTCAATAGTCATTAAAACCACACAGTCATTGTCAGGGGGCATTAAAGGAGGCAATGGCCTAGTGGCATTATTGCTGGATTGTTAATCTAGTGATCCAGATAGCATTTTGCAGACCTGGGTTCGAATCCCACAACAGCAGATGGTAGACTTTGAATTCAATAAAAATATCTGGAATTAAGAATCTAATGATAACCGTGAATCCATTGCCTGCAAACAGATAGCTTTGCTTAACAAAAAATCTCAGATTTAAAACTAACATCTGAACCTTCATCCACTACCATTTGTGGAAGCAAGTTCCAAACATCTACCACCCTTTATGTATAGAAGTGCTTCCTAACAACTTTCCTGAATGGTCTGGCTCTAACTTTTAGACTATGGCCCTAGTTCTAGAATCCCCAGCCAGTGGAAATCGTCTATCTTTATCTACACTGTCTTTTCCTGTTAATATCTTGAAGACGTCGACGAGATCATCCCTTTAACTTCTAAATTCTAGGGAAAACAGGCCTTTTTTTAAAAATAATCTCTCCTCCTAACTTAATCCCTGAAGTTCGGGCATCATGGAGGCAATGGCCCAGTGGTATCATCACTGGATCCTTAATCCAGGTAATGCCCTGGTGACTAGGGCTCAAATCCTACCGAGGTAAAATTTGAATTCCATAAAAAAAAAATCTGGAATTAAGAATCCAATGATGACCATGGATCCATTACCAATTGTTGGGGAAAAACCCATCAGGATTACTAATGTCCTTTAGGGAAGGGAACTGCCATCCTTACCTGGTCTGGCCTACATGTGACTCCAAACCTACAGCAATGTGGTTGACTCTTAACTGCTCTCTGGATGGCCAATATATTTGGTATGTGAAGGAAATCTGAGTTACAGTGAAATGGGGGTTCAGAGAAAGATTACTTTATGATCTGCTACAACTTTGCTTTCCACAGTCATATCATAATATCATATTTTAATTAAGTTGTTGTTTTCTCTTGGCTTAGAATTTCTCCTCTGTAATCTTTGCTGGGATAGGTGTGGCAGGAGCGGCCTACTGTTTCATCGTTTCTGCAGTGGGCCTCAACGAAGGTCCAAAATGTACCACAACGAGGAACAGCAATTACACCTATATCTTTACTAACGGGTAAGAAAAATTACTCACTGGGGCTTTCTCAGAACTGCCTTTGTTGAACTAACTTGTTGTAATTGTAATTCTTCTACAGCCCCAGGAATGCCCGCCAGTGAGCCAATTTGCCCAATGATACATTTACATAAACAATTGTTTTGATCTTGGGATGGCTTCTGAACCTGTTTTATTGCACCTATCCAGTCATTAAGCTCATAAGCATGCATTTCTGGGAAGGTGATGGGCTAGTGGTATTTTCGCTAAACTATTAATCCAGAAAATCAGCTAATGTTCTAGGGGCCCAAGTTAGAATCCTCAGCAGATGGTAGAATTTGAATTCAATAACTAAAGAATTCTAGAATTAAGCGTCTACTGATAACTATGAAACCATTGTTGATTCTCAGGCAAATCCCCTTGGTTCACCAGTGTCCTTCAGGGAAGGAGATCCACCATCCTTACCTAGTCTGGCCTATATTTGACTCCAGAGCCATAGTAACGTGGTTGATTCTTAACTGCTCATCCAGTTGTGTCAATTGCTATGACGTCTCAGTAAAGAAATGAAACCTGACAGCCCAACTGGAAAAGACAACGGCAGAAACATAGAAACGTAGAAGATAGGAGCAGGAGGAGGCCATTCGGCCCTTCAAGCCTGCTCCGCCATTTTTCATGATCATGGCTGATCATCCAACTCAATAGCCTAATCCTGCTTTCTCCCCATAACCTTTGGTCCCATTCACTCCAAGTGCTGTATCTAGTCGCCCCTTGAATACGTTCAATGTTTTAGCATCAACTGCTTCCTGTAGTAATGAATTCCACAGGCTCACCATTCTTTGGGTGAAGAAATGTCTCCTCATCCCTGTCCTAAATGGTCTACCCCGAATCCTCATACTGTCACCCTTGATCCTGGACACACACACCATCGGGACACAACAGCATCATCAACTGTATACCACTGTATACATTGAAATTCCTCATGCAGAATACATTTTGCACTCTTGCCACCCTCAGTACTTCCTCCAAGTGTTGTTCAACATGGAAGAGTACTGATTCATCAGGCGAGGAGAGGATATGTTAGTCAGCAGGAAGTTTCTTTGCCCATGTTTAACCGGAAACCATGAGACTTCATGGAGTCTGAAGTTAACATTCAGGGCTCGCAGGGTAACTCCCTCCTGACTGTATACTACTATACAAGGTCCTCCTTACTAACATCTGGGGGCTAGTGCCAAAATTGACATGGTTGTCTCAGGGAATCATGAATTACAGACAATATCTCAAGCCCTAGCATCACCAGCAGGACAGATCCAACAGAGGTGGCAGCACAGTGGTATACAAACTTGGAAATACATCTACGTTCCTTCACTGTCACTGGGTCAAGATTCTGGAATTCCCTCCCTGATGGCATTCTGGGTCTACCTACAGCACGTGGACTGCAGCGGTTCAAGAAAGGAGCTCACCACCACCTTCTCAAGGGCAACTGGGGCCTGCAGTCTGTTAGTGATGCCCATGTCCCACAAATTAATAAAAAAAATTAAACTGGTTCAGTGAAAATAGCACCACCTTATACACACAGATGCTGACTGTGTTCATGCCCAAATTATGAAATAATAACATTTTGTGAGAAAGTCGTTGAGAATGCACACTGTGCCAATCTTAAGGTTGATTTTTTTTTGTGCAGCTGGGCTGACTCTGGAGGCATTTCAAAATGGTGGATGTGAGCCAGATGCAAAGTTGAGCTCCTGATTCCAACAGATTCCATTTTTGCCAGTAAAACAACAGACTGTGAATGACACTACAGGAAAACCAAACTCAGCAGCAGCATTTGAAATTTGTGTTGAGTTCAAACAGATAACTTTTCCTGGAAATTCTAAGGCTTAAACCCACACTGTGAAAATCACAAATTTGTGGAGAAGGTGTCGATGCTCAGAAAGAAGTGTCACAATCTGAAGTTAGTTAAAACCTCAGTCCTTTCAAAATTACTGCATCTCTCAGTTAGAGTAAAATGAAGACACCTGTTGATGAAGTGCATTAATTAACAGGCCATCCGGTATAGCTTAGAAGAAAATAGCCATCCGTTCTTGCAGATGAAATACATTATCAGTGATGACATTTCTCAAAAGCTGTTATCACAGCTAGAATGCTTGGCTGGGTTTCAAAAGCTCCAAAAACCACTTATCCAACAGGCACTGAGTTCACATTTTGACTATGAGTTTTAGGCAGCTATTGAAAGGCTTTTTTGCATGGTTAGTGAAGAGAAATATAGTTGGTTTTACAATGCATTAACCACTTGAGGGATTTAAAGGATTTGAGTTGGTTTCACAAATGAGTTTTTAATCAATTTAAAGTGTGCATAATTTTTAAATTGTTCGAAGTTGATGTTTTATATTGCCACATGGTTCCTGATGCCTGCACATGGTGGATACTAGGTGAGACACCATGGAAGAGCTGGGGGCGTCAGGTGTGGGCGGTGGGAGGTGGTGAAGGAGCAGGGAGCTGGGAGCTGGAATGTAGAATATGGTGAGAAGTGAAGTCTCAGTTTACCTCAGCACTTACCTGCCTCCATGGCCACTTCCAAACTATGTTCAGAGGAAACATGCCCAACTTGGTCCTGCCCACACCTCCCTCAAGTGAAAACTGTGTGTGTGTGTGTGTGTGTGTGTGTGTGTGTGTGTATATACGTCTGTGTGTGTGTGTGTGTAGTGTCTGTATACATCTGTGTGTGTGTGCGTATACGTCTGTGTGCGTGTGTGTGTGTGTGTGTGTGTAGTGTGTGTATACATCTGTGTGTGTGTGTATATATGTATATGTGTGTTTTTATCTGTGTATATGTACATCTGTGTGTGTGTATGT